TGATGATGATGATATCCAGTACTTTCTGAGTGTCTGCCATTTATCAGTGCTAATACACAATTTGTCAGATCAACTCTGGTGGATTTAACCATTGGAGAAACCTTGGCTTCTAAGTTGCTAACTGCTTGATCTCGGAGGACATCTTGCTCACCCTGGAGAGAGTGACAAGGAAGTGATACATCAAGAAGTGGTGGGGGAGTATAAAAGCGGACACATAAGCAACCAGCTGGGAGCTGGGGTTTGAATGAGAAATCTTACTTGGTCACATGGGGAGAGTGTTGGCTTAGAATGTTCTGTCTTAAGGTAATAAGCTAGCCATCACAGTAGGAGCACAAGCAAGGTTGAATGATAAGAGGTCAGGGTGCTGGAGAGTTTAACCCTGTTGGGGAGTTTCTGTCCCCACTTTTACCCCATCTTGGGAAAGAGACAGACCTTAGAATCATCCAGCTTGAGTATGGTATAAAATTCGGACCAATTGACCTGACTCCTGGCTAGGATCAGGGGTCATGTGGACAGTGGAAGGCTTCAAGTGGTCCAATAAAATCCAAAAGAAGAAGTAGCCCCAGGGGCCTGAACGAGGGGTTCAGTGGGACCTGGGGTCAGGTTGCAGAAGATAGCCTCAGTTTTCCCCATCTGAAGAATGGGTTAGTGGGATGAGCTACTGGGAGCTGAGAAGCCAGAGCCCTTGATCAAAAGGTCTTTAAAGTAAGGAAGTGACAAGGGAAGTCAGGAGTAGACCCCACACCTTCAGGATACCCCCTTCATGTATCACCAGTCCATACCTTAAGCCTGTTGCCAACACACACACACACACACACACACACACACACACACACACACAATATCTTTTAGAACCGGCTTTAGGCTAAGGACTGAGACCATAGACACCCCCCCCTTCCTCCGCCAACACAGACTGGGTCCCTGGGAAGGGTAAGGGTGGGCGGTTCCAGCTGCCTGTTTCTACATCTCTGTGTTTCTAGGTCTGTGGTTCCCACTCTCCTTTTTGTCACCTCCCTCTCTGTCTCTTGCGTCTGGGTCAGTAGCTCTCTGTCTCTGTTTCTCATTCACTGTTTCTCATGCATTCTTGCTGTGTTTCTTTCTCATCAAAGTTCTTTCCACATCCCCTCCCCTCTCTTCTTGCTAAGTATTTCCCTGTGTCTGTGTCTGTGGGTCTCTCCCTCGTCACCCACCCCCATATCCAGGTGGAAGTTTTCAACAAAATCAAAGGCAGGCAGGACAGACGAAGGCCAAGCCCTGGGCTGACGCCTTCAGCACACACAGGGAGGGAGGGAGAGCCCTGGGGAAGTCTGGAAATCGTTACCCCTGAGGTAGGCAGGCCTGGCAGAGGGAGGAGGGGGCTGGGAGAGTTGGGACCCCGTAGGAAAGGGGACTGCTTCTCATGGATTCCCTGATGGCAGTGGGTGGTCTCCATCCTCCTCCCCCTCCGGGTCTCCGTCTCCCCCAGGCCGGGTTCTCTGTGTCTCTAAAATTCCCTACAATTTGAGCTATTCCCCCTTCCTCTCTCCTCCCCCTTTCGACCTTTCTCTCTCTGGGACTCCCCTCCCCCATTTCTCTGAGTTTCTGTGCCCTTCCCTCAAAGTCCCAGTCCCTCTGAGCCTGGGTCTCTTTCTTACACTGTCCAACCATTCACACACCTGCAGGCCTTCCATTGGCTGAGCTCAGGGTGGGCGGGTTCTGTTACCTGGGGCAACAGGAACAACAAGCCTGCCCCGGCGTGGCTCCCCCGCAGGGGTGGGACCATGGCTGGTCGGACCCTAGCTCTGCGCTACGGTCCCCCATGGTCCCCAATCTCTGGGACCGAGGTGCCTGGATCCTGGCCCAAATGGCATCTCACCAGCAGTGGTGTCGCCCACCACATTATCCAGCCTGTGTCCTTTCCCCCGCCCACTGTGCAGGTGAGAGGACCCTAGGTTCCTGGCCAGAAGGAGACTGGGGCCCCAGGCTCCTGTGTCTGAAGGAGAGGCCTGGGGGTCCAGACACCTGCCGAGAGAAAAGGGGGTTGGGGGCGCGGGCTCCACTCTGACTGAAGGAGGAGTGTCCCCGAGTCCTGGATCTGAAAAAAGAGGGTCCAGGGAACCTGGATGCCTGGGACTGGAGGGAGGAAAGGGTTGGGGACGGATTGGGAGAGATCAGGGCTCGTGGGCTGGACTTGACCATTTTAGCTGACGACCTTCTTCCCAGTCCACGGTCGCGGAGCCCCTGCCGCCGGCCGCCAAGCAGGATTTGCACATCTGGGATTTTGATGAGGTCATCAGCAGATGGGAGACAACCTCTGGCTCCGCTTACGTGCCCAAGAAGCACGGCTGGCCCTACGCACAGCCTAGGGCCCCAGAGCCTTCGGACCCCACGAGGACTGTGGGGATCAAGGATTTAGACGAAAAGGTAACGTTCTGGGATGCAGAGGTCCGCAGGGGACAGGGCTGGGGATGGCACTGGAGTACCGCCCACCCTCACGTTGGATCTCCGCGTCGCCTTCCCGCAGCTCAGACACCGTGGCTGGCGCCTCCCGCTGATCACTAAGCACCAGCGCAGTGAGATGCGCGCGCAGTACACCGGCTGGCCCGACCCGGATCAGCAGCGCCCCACCTTCTACGTCGGGCCCCAGCCCCTGGAGCTTGCGGAGCACCTTCGCGGAGGCCCTTCCCAGGTAGAGGAGAACACCCGTTGCCACCGTGGGAAAGAGCTTGTAGCGCCTGGGGCGGGGTCGGAGGGGCTCTGCGGCTAGGGACCAGGCTAGCAGATCTGGGGTGGAGAATTTTGAGTCTGGGGTCGTGGGCAAAAGGTCTGGAACGGAATCAGGTTACAGAGTCTGGGGGTGGAGCTTGGACCTTTTGAGGTAGGGTCAGGAGGAGGAGGGGCCTGGAGACCGAAATCCCAGCTCTGAGGCTGAGGCCACCGCATGTAAATCCCGGGTGGGCGGGGGCTTGTCTAGGAGGGAGTTTGGAGGCAGGGGGTCCGGGCGCGGGGGCGGACGGTGCGTGGGGGCGGGTCTTGAACTTTCCGAGCCAAGGTTGAGAGGAGGGGCTAGGCTTTCCTGGAGCGGACGAGCAAAAAGGAAAGGTGGCCCGAGGTGAGGCTGAATTCCAGTGGCGGGAGGTGGAAGCCAGGGGTCTGAGGGCGGAGCTGGGAAGGTTTTTTTGTGGTTGGGGCCTGGGCTTTGTGTTCGATGACCCGCCAAGTGTTTGGATTCTGGAGTAACCCTAATAAGGGTTCTGATATGGGGAGCGAAGCTAAAGTGCGCTAGCTTGCGATTGGTCAGGAAGGATTCGGATTCTCGGGGCGGGTGTGAGGGTCTGTTGGGTCGAAGCGGAATCCCGAGTCTAGCGACCCAGGGCCCGGAATGCGGTATGAAACCTCTTTCTTGCTCATCCCTCCTCCCTGGATCCTCCTCAGGCTTTAATCCCTTGGACAAAGAACCCCGAGCTGGCCGGCCGGCCTTTCACAGTGTCTGACCAGGGCATCTTGGACCGCCGTCAGCTCTATCTGACCACCTCGGCCAAGGACTTCCGGGCCTACCCGAAGTGAGCCTGGGTCCTCGCTCGGCGCCGCCTCCCAGCGTAGGCCCGCGGGCCGCCGAACCCGGGTGTCGGCTCCCCCTTGTCCGACTCAGGAGCCTCAGCCTTCAGCTCCCGCACACTCAAGAAACCGAAGTTCAGACCCCAGGCCCTACCTTTTTTAGCGCCCAGGTTTCCTTAGTGTCAACTCTCAGGAATACGAAACCTGCCGCTTGCCCAAGAAGGGGTTCGGGACCAGGGTCGGGACCCTCAGGGTCCAGGGCGGGGCCTGTTTTGGTTCCCAGTTACTCCTTCCCTTGGATTCGGAAACTCCAGATCCCAGGCCCTTAAGGACCTCCAGGACCCAGGAATCCAGGCTGGGGGTCCCCAGCCCCCATCCTTCCTGAGGGGTCCCCGAATCCTACAAATGTGTCTTTGCCTCGAAACACAGGAGTTCAGGTCTACAGGTTCCGCAGAACGCGAGGTCTGAACCTCAGCCTTGTCCCTAGGAACCAACTGTGCCTTCCCTCTCCTGCCTCTCTCACCAACAGGAAGGAGTTGTCTGGATATCCCCGCAAGGACTCGCTGACCTCCTGGAGCTTTGACAAGACGCCTCAGGCCTGGGGCCATGACCCACAGAGGCCACCCTGTCTGCGCCCCTCTCAGCCGCCAGGGATCCGCGTGCCCCACGTCCACCCGGTGACGACTGCAGTGCCACACCGCGGGGCGCTGTCTCTGGCTCAGGAGTCCTACAGACCCCCGCTGCACCCCCTCCTCGGGCTCGACCGTTTCTGCCCGCTGGAGCTGCCCTGGGGCGGCCTCCACTGGAAGCCGCTGTCGGGGATCTACAGCGTGCCGCAAGCCTACCGCACTGAGAACTCCACCTACGGCAGCGTGAAGCCAGCGCCAGTCTGAGCCGGAAGCGCCAGCCCCGCCCTGGACACGCCCCCCTCCCCCGGCGCGGAGCTAGGGGACCTAGACTGGTAGCACATTGGGCGGGGCTAAGATAGGGAACCCCGCCCATTACGTGGGAGTGAGACCAGGATCCGCCCACTCAGTCGTGGGCGGGGCGACTCCCTATACTTGACCACACTGCTGACGGGGGCGGGGGAGACAGGGCAGGGAGGTGGGAGCTGAGCGAGAAAAATGAACTTTGGGGCTGTGGGCTCGCGGGCGGAACACGCCCTCTGCGACAGAGGGGGCGGAGCTTCTTAGTCAACGACAGAGTTAAATAGCCTAAACCATGCCCGTTGCTGGTGTCGGCTCTGGGAGCCTGGGTGTGGGGGGAAACGGGGCTCCCGCTGAATCCCTTGCGGAAGGAAGGCGCATCTGCGTGCGGCGGCTACAGAATCCAATACTGAAGCCACGCCCCTCCGCAGGGTTTAGACGGTGGCACAGGAATGGCTTTCAGTCTATGGCAGGTGGAGGGGGGCTGACGTCTCAGCCAATTGAGGGCCCTTGGAAGGGGCGGACCTTCAGCCTTCCCTGGTTCCTACCATGATGGGCACAGGCCAGGCTACACCGCCGGGGGCAAGGCCAAGGGCTCCCTCTGGCCTATTACCTAGGACCGGTACAGGACTTCGCCAGCCCCTGAGGATTGAGGCCGTGAAGTCAGCTTCCCCGTGGGCGTCTCCCGCTTCTTGGTGTGGGAGCCACTCAGAGAGCGGGGGGAAGGGGCACTCCAAGGAACCACTCCTGCACACCTCCCTGACCTTTTCTGCTTCTCGCCCCCGGAAAGATTAGTGTCCAGGTTACCCCATCATGCCGCCACCCCCAGTGGCCTTGCCGCCTCCACAGCCTCCAAGTATAAGACCAGGTAAACCTCACGGGGAAGGCACTGAGAATGGAGACGCTCCAGGTAAGACTGCAGGGGCCCTGGGCACCTTGCAGCTCCAACCGGCCATAGCTGGCACAAAGAGGGAGAGTCCTGTGACCCGATGAAGGAGGCTTCCTTCTAGAAGGGTGTGGATGGCCAACAGGCTTCCCACCAGGAGGGAAGCAGGTGAACCGGGGCCTCAGGGGGGGGGAATATGCAATGTTGGGGAGAATCTGGGGTTCCCAAGTTTGGAACAGGGATTCACAGTGAGAGGGATGGGTCCCGAATAGAAGATGCCAGGTCAGGGAGCCTGTCTAGAGGATGGGAAGGTAAGGGCTCAGGGTAGAGGGATCCAGCTGGCCCTGAGACACTGTCCTTGTCCCAGGGGCTGCTGCTGTGGCTGCTGCTGAACGTGGGTGGGGTGTGGGCATCCAGGGGGCCACTACGGCCACTCTGCCGGCCCATCAATGCCACCCTGGCTGCCGAGAACGAGGCCTGCCCAGTCTGCGTCACCTTCACCACCAGCATCTGTGCCGGCTACTGCCCCAGCATGGTGAGCAGTGGAGGGGGGGGGGCGCAGCAGGGGCCAGCCCTGCTGGATTGGGGATGGAAGGGTGGCCTGCCCCCTGGGCAGGGGCTGGGGAATTGGGAGGGCAAGCTGGGCACGTGGGAGTGACAGCACAGGGGGTCTGCTGGACACCTGAGTCTGCGACCTATGGGGGGCAGCAGGGGAGCTCAGGGGAGGGTCTGACCATAGGTGGACCATGCCCCCACCCCCCTACCCCGGCCTACAGGTTCGAGTGCTGCCAGCCATCCTGCCACCTATGCCACAGCCGGTGTGCACCTACCATGAGATGCGCTTTGCCTCCATCCAGCTCCCTGGATGCCCGCCTGGCGTGGACCCCACGGTCTCCTTCCCCGTGGCCCTCAGCTGTCGCTGCGGGCCCTGCCGCCTCAGCAGCTCCGACTGTGGGGGTCCCAGAGCCCAGCCCTTGGCCTGTGACCGCCCCTCGCTCCCGGGCCTCCTGTTCCTCTAAGGATCCCCCCTACCCCAACTCCTGAAGCCAGCAGATGCTTCTTTCCTCCCCTCCTAATAAAGGCTTCTCAAACTGCACTCAGGTTGTCTTTTGTCAGACTCAGGGTACATGTACGTGTGTAAACACACACACACACACACTCAGAATGGGTTCAGTTTCAGGGCACCTGAGTGGCTGCTGGTTGAGCGTCCGATTCTTGATTTCAGCTCAGGTCATGATCTCAAGGTCATGGGAAGGAGCCCCACATTGGACTCCACACTGGGTATCCTGGAGTCTGCTTAAGAGTCTCTCTCTCGGGGGCGCCTGGGTGGCTCAGTGGGTTAAGCGTCTGCCTTCAACTCAGGTCATAATCCCAGGGTCCCGGGATCGAGCCCTGCATCAGGCTCCCTGCTCAGTCGGAGGCCTGCTTCTTCCTCTCCCACTCCCCCTGCTTGTGTTCCCTCTTTCACTATGTCTGTCAAATAAATAAGTAAAATCTTAAAAAAAAAAATTCTCTTTCACTCTCCTTCTGCCCCACTGCCACCCCCTGCCCCATGAGCTCTCTAAAAAAAAAGAGGGGGGAATAGGTCCAGTTTCAGAACCATTTTATACAAAGTGACAGTGTCAGAACTCTAGTAGAAAACAGGGTGGGGTGGGGCGGAAAGGGCGAGGGTGACATCAGCTCAGGACGTGTCCATGGTTTCGCCTTCTGTGGGGAGAAGGAAGGCCAGGTGGTCAGTGTGGGCTGGGGGTGGGGACTGAGGTCTCCAGATCAGATACCCGCCTGCCCTCTGGAGGGGGACCCTGGGGACAGGCACAGTGGGGGACACTCACTAAGCTCGTTGAAGAGAAAGGCGTCCTGGTATTCCTTCATGTACTGTGTGGAGCGTGACTCGTCCAGAAAGAGCGAGTAGACCCGTTTGATGTCATCTACTTGCACTTCCGTGCCCTGCCGAGGGACGGCCACACCTCAGTGGGGCCCCTGGCGGGTCAGGGTGAAGACTCTGGGGTCTGGGTTCAAATCCCAGCTGGCCATGGGCCCAAACCCTCCCTTCCTGGGTGGCTTCAACTGGAAGATGGACTTGACGGTGTTAACTTGGAGCTCCCAGACATCCCCGAGCACCTGCTCTGTGCTGGGCCAGGAGATACAGGTATGAACTCCACAGACCCATGTTTCTGGCCTTTGAAAAACCCGGGTTCGGGACTAAATCCAAAAACGTACAACAGACCCTTGGAGGGGCGAGTGGGGCCCTCCACGCCCTCGGGCCGGCCCCAGGGGGCTTACTGTTGGCCTGACCTTGCGCTTCCGGCACACAAGACTGGCCGCCGTGATGAGCTGGATGGCGTAGCGCAGTGAGGTCTCCAGCCCGATGCGCGTCAGCACCGTGTAGGCGTCCTCACTCATTTCTACGTCTTCTTCCTCACACCTGTGGGCAGGTGGTGGTGGTGGGGTGAGCCAGGGCCTGGTTCCAACTGCAGCGAATGCCCGCCCCGGCCAGCCCATCTCCCCCTGGCGCTGTGGGACATCCTGGGGGATGTGCGGAGTTGATCTCCTCAGAACCACAGAACGTGTAGCAAGAAGAGCCTCGGAGGCACGGCTGGGCCTGCAGCCTGGGATCCCCCCGGACCTCCAATCGAGCCCCACCCCTCTGCTCCTTCCCCATCCCCAGATCGGAGGCCACTGCCTGGATGCCCAGCCCAGCCATACCTCCTGCAGGCCCAGGGACCTTCCCCCTCAGACCTCCCTGCCCCCACCTGCCAAACATGATGGGCGCCAGCCACGCTGTTCAGGTCCACAGCCTGGCCCCAACCCGGGACAGCAGGTGGCCTGGCCCATACCGGATGCGAAGGATCTGCTTTGTGTCCTTCTCACTGTAGGGAGAGGTGGAGACAATGAGCAGTCGGTCCAGTAGGTCGATGGGGATGCCGTGGGGGCTCTGGTAGCTGGTACCCCGGATCCTGGGGAGGAGGGGGAAGGGAGGGCCGTCAGGGCTACGCTCCCAGGACCCGGCTCTCCATTTCCTCTCCTTGGAATACCCCCCCACCTTCCCCAATGCCACCACGGCCCACTCACGGGGCAAATACCACTTAACCTTCAGCTCCTGGCTGCTGTCGCCACCGACGGTGCAGCTGGCCCCCAGCTGCGTCCACCGCCCCCCCCCCAACCGGGATGGGCTGATTTTAGCTAGGTATCTTTATCCAGGATTACTGAGTCAAGGTCCCACTCCTCTGCGTGACGTAGAGCTCCACAGGGGAAGAGACAGCCGGTCCTACCCCCTGCTGCACCGGGCTCAGCACAGGGCCCAGGAGACGCTGTGGGTTCCCGTTACTCACGGGAGTTACATTCTGTAAAGTGGGGCAAACGCCCAGCGGCAAGTGTCACACCGCTGCTTCTTGGGGACACACATGGTTAGGTTCTTGTGAACCTCTGGTCACAATATTGCTGTCAACCGACTGACATATAACCTGGTTCTGTGTGCTTCTGTTTAAAGACATCTTTTGTAACATATGTCATCGCCCCACTGCCCTCGAACTCACGTGAGGCTAACGGCTAACACTTTCCATCAGGCCTGAATGGAGCTCACCCAACACACACACACTCTCTCTACGAGGTGCATCCACTCCAGCCTTGTGGTTGCGGACACTAGGAAGTGACAGGCCCCTTTAGACGTGAAATCCCCAATAAAAAGCATAAAATGCAGCAAATGTGGTGCTGAACCAATCAGGAAAAGGACATGCTTTTGCGGGAGATGAGCCGAAACCAGAAGGCCGGCAGGGTGGCACCTTGTTGGAGCTTGGTTTGGAGCATCCCTAGAGGGCGACTCAAATGTGTGGCCTCTCTACGCACATCTGCCCCAGGGCACTGGAGTGTCACAGGTACTGGTGTGTGTGTGTGGGGGGAAACGGACAAATCAATGTTAGTGAGAGGACGCGGACTCCCAAATACACGATGTGCAGATAATGAGGGACTTGGGTTGGCGCCCTGCTCTTGGACAGTCTCCTCCCATCCCTGTTCGGAGATCAGCTCTGGCCCTGACCCCTTCTCCCTGTGACCTCAGGCATCCGTCACGGGGCCTTGCTGTCCTCACCTGTAATGTGGGGCTGAGACAATATCCACCTCCCGAGCTTCTTTTTTTTTTAAAAGATCTTATCTATCTAATAGAGAGAGGCAGGCAGAGAGAGAGGGGGAAGCAGGCTCCCTGCTGAGCAGAAAGCCCGACACGGGGCTTGATCCCAGGACCCCGAGATCATAACCTGAGCCGAAGGCAGAGGCTTAACCCACTGAGCCACCCAGGCACTCCCTCCCTCCCCAGCTTTAGGGTCCGAGCAGTTCACCGGGGACACAAGCCAGGGACAATCTGCCCATTTGTACCCGGCAGCGATGACAGGGCCCCAGCTTCCTGGGGGCCGTTTAGCTCCTGCTTCCACCTCCCTGTCTGCCAATACAGATGAGGCAGAGAAGGCGGAGAGCTGGGATGACAGGGTGAGTGGTGCTGGCAACACCCTAGGGCAGAGGTTCCCAAGCTTCACCAGAACCTGGGGTATTCATGGCTTGGGAAGGTTTCCCAGGCCAAAAGTAATATCCAGCTCTGTTCTGTAAGGTGGTTAGGGCAAAGTGAGCTAAGCATAATGATTTATGCAGTGTCCAACACACACCTCTATGCACCCCTCAGAGACTTAAACCATCCCACAGCCCTCTGTGTGTGTGTTCTGTAGCACCCTGGGATGCCTCGGCACACCGTTTGAGAACTGCAGCCTCAAGGGCTACAGGAACAAAGACAGAAAGAACGTGGTCCCTCAGCTTCCTTGTGGAGCAGAGCAGAGTACCTGCCGCCCTTGTCTGAGGGAAGCACAGCTTTCCATCTGGGACCCGGTACTTGTGGGGACTCGTTCCAAGCTCAGCAAACATGCTCTGCTTACCCTGGGCCTATACCCACTGCCTGGAGCACCCCCTTCTCCCAGAGGCCTTTGAGGGGGCCAGCAGCTGGCTCACCGGGTGATGCCGCGGTTGGTGGCCATGATGAGGACTGGCGCCATGTCACTCTCCAGGGCCCGATTGAGAAAGGAGAAGCTTTCAATGTCCAGCATGTGGACCTCGTCGATAAACAGCACCTGGGAGCCGTTGGGGGGTATGTCAAATCCACCACCCAAGCCTCTCTCCTCCCATTTCCCACCACTGCAAGCCGCCTGCCCTGGCCGGGCCCCGATACTCACCCCGGGGATGATTTCTGCCTTGCCCTCCTCACGCCACTCAGCTACCTTGGCATTGATCTGTTCTCGGACTTCTGACTTGATCTCCCCTGTGTCACCTAGGGAGGCGGGATAGTGTGGGGAGGGTCGGAGAGGAGACAGGGATCCAGAGCCGGAGGGTGGAGGAAGACAGAGAAGGACGGGACACCAGGGACAGAGGGAAGACAGACCAAAACTGGAGTGGCAAAGGGATAGAAGGGGAGGGAGTTCCAAACATCCCAGAGAGGAGGAGGACCGGAGACAGAGAACTCACGAAGAAGAGAGGGCAGGATACGCAAGCTCCCGCTGGACCACACGAAGAGAGGGACAGATGGCAACAGGGTGGGATGGACAAAGCAGGGGGATACGCGGAGGGTGGGGAAGGGGGGCTGCACGGAGCAGGGCCAGTCCAAGGCGCCCCACCTGAGAAGAGAGCCAGGAAGCCCTGGGTGCGGGAGTTGATGACGTCAATTTCATGCAGGGACACGGTGTGGACCACCTCCTTGCGTTTCTGGAGCTCCCCATCTGGACACTGCACGAACTTGGTCTATGGGGTCCGGGGAAGGGGAGAGAGAGACATCGGCAGAGAAAAGCATGAAAGGGGGCTCAGAGGGGCCTGCGCAAGGGGAGTTTGGATTCCGGACTCCTTGGAATGAAGCTGAGAATCCGGAAACCCCAGGTCCAAGAGGAGTCACCACTAGGGGATTCAAGAGCACTGAAGGATGGGGAGTTCCCGGAGGACCTTGGAAACCACGAGCAAGGGCCAAGATGAAAGGTCTTGGCTGTCCTAGAGGTTACAGGGAAAAACCAGGAGTGCCAGGGCCACAGGGCTGGGGTGACTGGAGGATCCAGACCCTCTGGG